AGTCAGTTTTCCTAGTTGAGCTGATGATATTACATAGTTGGGTAATGGAACGTCTGCAAGAAAACAGCCGAGAGAGCACCAAGAATTCTTCATCCTTCTCTTTCTTCCACTCCTCCTCTCTGCAAACCCCATGCCCTTCTAGCACTGAGGATGCTACCCAGTTTGGTAATGAAATGTCTGCAAGAAAACAACCAAGCTCAGAGAGCACCAAGGACCCCACAGTTTGACCTTGAGCTACCAATATTTTCTTCTATTGTCTAATTGATGGCATAAGGGCCTAGCTTACCTCTCCTCTAATAGGATCCGGGCTACTGACAACAGCGGATTCTACCACTGCTGGGTGTTCCATCAAAGCACTCTCCACCTCAAAAGGGCCAATGCGATATCTAAAATAGATGGTTGTTGTTTTTAACCCTTCTGTGAATGGTGAAGGAAAGAAACCAACCTCGGTGTAGAAAAAGGAAACCTACCCCGAAGAATTGATGATGTCGTCGGACCGCCCAACAAACCAAAAATAGCCTTCTTCATCTTTGACCGCTCTGTCTCCGGTGATGTAAAAATCCCCACATTCAGTGGCTGCAGTTTTTTCTGGGTTATCCTGGAAGGAACCAACAATGAGTCCATGACCCACCATTTCTAGGTTCAATGACTTCCAGTCATGCAGACTACAATTCTGGGAATTTTTCAGTTTAGTGTGGCCATTGGTTAAAATTCTGAGAATTTATTTTATTTATTTTATTTGTCAAGCATGTATTAGATAACAGGTATAATTGGAACATGATCATGATTGCATGAAATGGGTACATTAGAACAGGGACGGTAGGCACGTTGGTGCTCTTATGCCACACCCCTTACAGACCTCTTGTTCTGACCCAAACCTTGCTCCAAGGAAACAAACATGAAACAGAGGTAACAGCAAAACCTTTTAATGAATTTTAGGAGTTGAAGTCCACAAGCCTTAAAGTTTGGAGACCTCTGGTATAAAGTATGCAACCTAGAATAAATGCATACTAATTCCATTTGCTGAAGTGTTAAAAAAAATCATACTTACTGTGTATTTCAAGAAAAGACAGAATGGTCGTTTGGGTTTGATTCTGATGGCCACATCTCCTTCTTTTCCGGGGGGCTGAATATTTCCTTCATCATCAATTACCTTCAGAAATAAAAGCAAAGCATCCCTTAGGCAAGTCAGGTGGGGTAGAAATATGATAAATAAATGAAAAGCATTGCTCCGATTGTGTTTATTGTCGGAGGTCTTCTATGCCAACTCCCTGCCCAAGAGAAGAATCCTTATACCATCTTGATCCAGTAGCTGTCCAATTGACATTGGAGACCTTCTCAGCTGACTTTCAAAAAGCAAAGTCAATGGAAGAAGCCGGACTCACTTAAGGACCACATGATTCAGTTAACAACAACAACCTTGTGGGGAAAAATGGTTGTAAAATCATGCATCCTTCACTTAACAGCCGCTTTGCTTGGTGTGATGATCCAGGTGGGATACAAAATAAACATAGTCACAAAAACAGGTGAAGCCCCTTTTATTCCTTCACTTTGCTTCAAAGCTCCAAATATCCTTGACTGGAGACAAAAAAAACTCCCCCACAAACAGTTACGAAAAGGAGGAAATGCCGTTTAAACTAAAAATGCCTATAAATTATAAATAGCAAAAACAACACAAAGCACACTGAAGCAATTAAGGGAACCAGGCAAGATAAGGGCTTGAAGACGTCCACAGATATTGGAATACACACTGGGAAGGACAGCAAACTCAGAGAGGAACAACAGATTAGAAATATTTCCATGCTTTGTTTCCAGCACTGGCCCATACGCATGTCCGTCCTTTTAACCAGCTCTCAAAGCTGCAGCCCATGAAGGGGATCAAGGCCCTTTCCTCCCCCGTAGACCATGCCATTCACATCTCTCCCTTATCCTCTCCTCCCTGCGTGCCCTAGGATGGAGAGGGGATGGGCCTGGGTCCTCTGACTGCTCAACCGGCCTCTGCCCTTCCCCAGCCTCCTCCACAACCTCCGGAGCCACACCTCCACTCCCTGTCAGCTGTTCCTCCTCTCCATCGGAGTCAGTCTCCAACAGGGGAATGACACTTGGCAACAGAAATTCTGGCCCCAATTGTGGTTGTAAGTTGTTTCGTTACCCAACTGTAGAGTATATTCTTTTTCTTTTGGTTGTGACTAGCATAAAGTAAAAAAATAAAACCATAAAGACTGTGACGTAATTAACCACAACATTACAACAGCCTACATTTAAAAATTGTATTGTACTGAATAACAAGATTGGTCCTTCTCACCTGGACATCGTAGGGTGGAGATGCTTTTCCCATTGAGCCAGGCTTAATTTTCATTCCTTGGACATTCGCACAGATTGTTACCTGCAAGAGAGAGGAGGATGGGACACAAGCTGTCAGGACCATGGTGACAATCAGGAGATGGGATCAGACACAACTTTTGGGGAAATGAAAATGAATCTATTGTGGAATCCTTGGTGCTCTTTGAGATTGGTTGTTGGCTTGTAGACCTTTCATTACCCAACTAGCCAACATCATCAGTTCTAGTGAGTGTGCTGTCTGTTTATATACAATAGCTTGCCCTATGAAGTGTTGGTGGGGGGACACATAGAAATAAATTGTAAACTGTTCAAAAGAAACAATAAAATATACTAAGAGACAAAAAATGGTGCTGGAGAAGACTCCTGCGAGTCCCTTGGACTGCAAGGTGATCCAACCGGTCAGTCCTAGAGAAGATCAACCCTGACTGCTCTTTAAAAGGCCAGATCCTGATGATGAAACCAAAGACTTTGGCCATGTCGTGAGAAGGAAGGACTCCCTGGAGAAGAGACGAATGCTGGGAATGATGGCGGGTAAAAGAAGAAGGTGGATGGCAGAGAAGGAGGGAGCTGGATGGAGTCACTGAAGCAGTCGGTGTGAGCTTAAATGGACTCCAGAAGATGGTAGAGGACAGGAAGGCTTGGAGGAACATTGTCCATGAAGTCATGATGGGTTGGACACGACTTTGCAACTACAACAACGAAGAGTCAAAAAGAAGGTCCTAAGAAAAAGATACTTCCTCTCTAACAATCAGTGCCCAGATAATCAGGATTAACACCAGACAAAGTATCTAGTAGAAAACAATGCCCTAATTATGGAGCTACCAAGGAGAAAACTACTCCCTCATCAATATTGATGGGGCAAGATACTGAATATGAAACAGGCTACACTCACCAGCACTGATGATGTTACCTACCTACAACCAAGTTTAGTTGAACCTTGAGCTACAAACATTCTCTTTTATTGAAATGAATATACCGTTTCGGTTTGTCCGTATCCTTCATAAATCTCCAATCCAGTCTGAGTCTTCCATTGCTCAAACACTTCGGGATTGAGTGGTTCTCCACCAGTCACGCAGTGCTTCAAGCTTCTGAATTTATAGCTTGGAAAGGAACAAAGACAATAAATAGTTCACTTTTTTCTTCGGTGAGTTGATTATGCATACATTTGGAAGGAAATGTGACTTCTGGATGGCCAAAGAACACTCATCAATTCATAAAACCATCATAATTTCATAAAACCGTTATAAATTGCATCCTCTTCACTGATGACGTAAAACTATTCAACACCACTGACAATGCTACTGTCCTTCAAAGCGAACTTGATTATGTGTCTGAATGGTCAAACAGTTGGCAACTCCTAAGCGCCAGAGCTCACGGCAACAGCATTACCAAAAAAGCTTCAAGGGTTGTAAATCTAATCTTAAGAAGCTTCTCCTCTGGTAAGACTGATTTGCAAACTAGGGCATACAAAATCTTTGCTAGACCAGTACTCAAATACAGCTCATCAGTCTGGAATCTGCACTGTATATTGGATGTTAATACAATTGAGCGAGTCCAGAAGTATTTCGTGAGAAGAGTACTACACTCCTCTGCTCACAACAGAATATCCTACACCACTGGGCTTGAGATTTTGGCCTTGGACAACCTTGAACTACGCTGCCTATGGTTGGACTTAAGTGCAGTACACAAAATTATCTGCTATAATGTCCTACCAGTCAAGGACTACTTCAGCTTCAACCGCAACAACACAAGAGCACACAACAGATACAAACTCAAGGTAAACTGCTCCAAACTTGATTGCAGAAAGTACGACTTCAGCAACAGAGTGGTCAACGCCTGGAATGCACTACCTGACTCTGTTACATCCTCTAACTCCCATTCCTTTAACCTCAAACTAACCACTATTGACCCCATTCCTAAGAGGTCTGTAAGGGGTAGTGCATAAGTGCACTATCGTGCCTCCGATCCCTGTCCTATTGTCCCCATTTATTCGTACCTATTTCCTGTATTCATACTCATGTTTATTCTTATACCTATTGACAAATCAAATAAATAAGAAAATAAATATGAGTCAGTTACTAAGTGTTTGAATTTGGATCACGTGACCATGGGACCCAGCCACGGTCATAAGTATGAACCTGTTGCCAAGCATCTGAATTTTGATCACACCATCATGGGGATGCTTGGAAAGGTTTGTAAGTGTGAACAATGGTCACAAGTCACTTTTTTTCAGTGCAGTTGTAATTTTGAACGGTCACTAAATGAATGGTTTTAAGTCAAGGACTACCTGTATTGCCTATTTATCTGGCTTTGAAATCTCAGATAAAAGGGGTCCAACCATGGCACCCGCCAAGTTCAACTGTCCTTCGTGACGCAAAGAAATATGCACTACATGGGAACACCATCAGCTGTGCAAGGAAGCAATCTTAGGAAATCGTATTGAGAAATGGATGAAAAAAATTCACAACTTCCTAGTAATAGCAACGGAACAAAGGCATCCTAGGCAATTCCATTACATTTCTAGACTTCCCATTTTCACGTTGACCTTCTCGTGTTTCATATTTTGTGGCAAAAAAAAAATACCTGGTGGCATTGTGCTGAACCATCATCCGAAATGCAGTAGGAGCGGTACATAAAGTTGTGATTGGATACTTCGCCAGGGTCTAGATGGAGAAAATGAATATGCAAACAACATGAAGAAAATGTGCATGCAGTCAAAATAATATGCAAACAAGATGATTTTTGTAAGACGGAAATGATCTGGCCTGAAGTTTAAGAGAGGCAGGGCTGAGTTCCTAGAACACGCTAAATCTTAAAGTAAAGTTTAGAAATAGTTGCTGCATCTGTTTAAAATTTTACATCCAACAATGTTGGCCTGAGGGGTCCTTGGTGCTCTCTGAGCTTGGTTGTTTTCTTGCAGACATTTCATTACCAAACTAGGTAAGTCTAGCACTGATGGTGTTACCTAGTTTAGTAATAAAACGTCTGCTAGGAAACAACCAAGCTCAGAGAGCACCAAGGATCCTATAGTCCTCCTTCACCTTTTCCTCATCTTCCTCCTCTGTCTCCTTCTTCCCCACTCCACAAACCCCACTCTCTTCAAACACTGATGATGTTACCTAGTTGAGTAATGAAACATCTGCAAGGAAACCGCCAAGTTCAGACACTCCCTAAGGACCCCACAATTCAACCCTGGGCTATAAACATTCTCTTCTAATTTTGGCTGGTTCACCCAAGATACTTAGACAATGCTTGCATTTCTACAACCTGCTGAACCATAAATTATCTAGCTCTTTTTAAATAGGTGATGTGAACCTTCTCAAACTGAGTGAAGTACACAAAATCAAAGCAGGAACAATGAAGAGAACATTTCTAGTAAGCTGGGATCAAAATGGTGAGGTCCTTGTCTTTTATTTAGATGCCTTCTACTATGTAGGGTCTCTATAAGTATTTCAGTATGTTCTTTGCCAATTTTCCCATTGAGAATAATCTTCTCTGCACAGGGGCAGATAGGACAGCACTCCAGAGGGTTAATGTCATTGCCCAGAAGATCATGGGTTGCCCTCTCTGTTCTTTGGAAGAGCTTTATAGCTCCCGCTGCCTTAAGAAAGTTCAAAACATCCTCAAAGATCCATCTCAACCCTGGGCACCCTTTTTTTGAACTATTACCATCTGGCAGATGGTACAGGACAATAATAAAAACAAGGACAAATAGGCTGAAAAACAGCTTCTATCCCAGGGCAGTAGCTCAGTTGAATTCTACTGTATATTGCAATGTTGGTGTTCAGTCAGGGGTTTTCAATTCAATGTATAGAATGCGAAAGATGCGTGTTTGTGTTTATTTTCATAGTCATAATGTACACTGAAGATGGTATTTAATGTCGTTGTATGAGGTGCAATGACAATAAAATAAAATAAAGTAAATGACCAGCTGTCTGCAAGAGATATAAATCCTTCCGTTCCTCACTGTCCTGACAGAGCTGAAGAAACTTCTTGGGGGAGAAGCGAAACCTCTTCAAAGAAAGTCCAGTTGCCTCCTGAAAAAGCACCTTTGGGGTGCCTGGTTTCTATTATGTCTATATACACGACTTCCAGTTCACTTGAAATACAAATGGACATGCTTACGTTTAATATGACTGTTGGTTCAAACTGGGATAGATGATGTACAAAGACACATGACCCATGGATCCATGGGCCAAATAAGCTGCTCCAAGCTGTTTTCACCCATCCTGGATCTGAGGTATTCCAGAACACAGTTGAAGAAGACAGATTCATCCAGTGCCTGCTCAAAAAAAAAAAAAATGTATAGGAAGTCCTCGAATTACGACCCCCATTGAGACCTCAACGTTCATGTGGTTCAGCAAGGCGATGGTTAAGTGAGTCACACCAATTTTTTTTTATTTTGTTTTGCAATGTCCCAGGGTCACGTGATCCCCTTTTGCGACCTTCTGACAAGCCAAGGCAATGGGGAAGCCGGATTCACTTAACAACTGTGTGACTAACTTAACAACTGCAGCGATTCACTTCATGAATGTGTCAAGAAAAGTCATACAATGGGGCAAAACTCACTTAACAAATTGCTCAGTTAGCAACATAAATTCTGGGCTCAATTGTGGTCATAAGTCGAGGATTACCTGTAATGCTGTAAGCTGCCCAGAGTCACCTTGAAGTGAAATTCAATTCAATTCAATTCACATTAGTGCAGTTCAAGTCAAAAGTCAAAAGTCAAAAGTCAAAAGTCAAGTCAAGTCAAAAGTCAAGTCAAGTCAAGTCAAGTCAATCACTAAATAAATAACCCAGGGATTCAAAAGTATGCCATGATATTACCTGCTGCTGGATGTAAATCCAATGCCATAACTGTGGCAATGCTCCACCATTTTGGGCGACCCGGTGCTTCCGCTCGTAAAGTAGATCAGCATTAACTCTTCACTTCGTGACTTGACACAATCATGGTCACCAGAGGCTGCTCTGGAAAACAAGCAGGTTGGTCTTGATGTACAATTAGAGTGGAAAGGGACATTTTGGGACAGGTGGCTGGCAGGTTTTCTTTCACAATTGGGATTAATCCACAAGTGGAGTTTTGGGGACTTTCTCCACATCTAGAAGGCAGCATCAGCAACAGTTCCAAGAAATCCAGAGCATTTTAGTCAAGAATGCAATGCAGATATTTATGACTAGAACTTAAGGAATGTGGAACACCTGCTTGTTAAAACAACCAACCTTGCTTCTGATTTATTTTTAATTAATTTATACCCCGCCTTCATTATGTAATGATATAAATAACTCAAGGTGGTGGACACACACATGACTCCTTCCTTCTCTGATTTTCCCCACAACAACCCAGTGAAGTGAGTTGGGATGAGAAGAAGGCCCAAGGTCACCCAGCTAACTTTCATGCCTAAGGCAGGAGTAGAACTCCCAGTCTCCTGGTGATTGATCCAAAGTCACCCAGTTGACTTT